TTTTTTTTTTTTTTTGTGTGTGTGTGTGTGTGTGTGTGGCTGTCATCCCCTTTCCTGCGCGGCTGTTGTTTTGTGTTTTTGTTTTTCGTTTTTGTTTTCGTTTCTTGCGTGCTTGTTGTGCTGCTAACTGTTTGTGTGTGTGTGTGTGCGCGGCTGTCATCCCCCATCTTCCCGCCCAGTCACACACACACACACATTATATTTATATTTTGAAGTTCGCTGCTAACTGTTGTAGCTGGGGTTTGAACCCACACATAGATTTGAGAAACCCAACTGTCCGATGAGATAACCCTTGATGCAGATTGGATCTCTGTGTGATTTTTTGAGTGTATCCCGTGTCAGGCAGCTGCCACGTCAGGGTGTGTCTGTGTGTCCAAACCCACACCTTGCAAAGTGTGGAAAACTGGCCGAAAAAGATCACAATGAAATCTATGGACTCCGAATTTTATATATTTTTCCTTATATTCTTCTGAGCTCAAAACATCACGGAAGATGCAAGACTTTTTTGTTGGCCGGCACATGGCATAGCAGCGAAAATGGAAAAAGTGTCGAATTCGCGCAGTGGTTATTTGGCAGTCCAAATTATTTTTTAAAATTTTAAAATATTTTTCCTGGAAAGATCACGACCTAATCTACAAGCCCTGCATTTTGAAAGATTTTTACGGCATTCTTCTGACTGTGAAAAAGCACTGAAGTTAGGATACTTTTTACATTGGCCCACATGTCGAAGAGTGGCAAAAATGGAAAATGCAGTTTAATGCACCGAATTGGCGCGTCGGCCATTTCAGCATCAAATTATTATTTTATTTTTTTTCAGATATTTTTTGCAGGAGGATCAGGACCTAATCTATGGGCCCTCCAATTTTCAGGATTTTCAACGCCTTCTTCAGAGCTGAAAAACTCACTGAAATTGGGGTACTTTTTCCGTTGGCCCACACGTTGCACAGTGGCAAAAATGGAAAATGAACTGAATCGGCGCGGCAACTATTTCAGGGTCGAAAATATTTCTCGTTTTTGTTTTTTGATATTTTTCCTAGAAAGGTCACGACCTAATCTACGGGTTCTCAATTTTTCAGATTTTCCAGATTCGTAACCCTTAAGCAGCATTGGCCGCGGGGGAGGCCGATGGTCTGCCGCGCGCCGGATTCGGGTTGAAGTTTTGATGATGGGCGGTGGATGAAGGCGATCAAGGGCGGGGGAGTGTGCAGAGGGGCGCGCGTACCGAAATGTTCACAGCGCGCCATGAAACGAGAGTGCGCGCCCATGGGGCCAGGCGGCGGTGGGCGTCGATCCGAGCGAATATCTCGAAGCGCCTGCCGTCGATATGCGGCCGGCGAGTTTTTTTTTTTTTGTTCTTTTCATTTTCGCAAGTTTCTTTTTTCTTTTTTCTTTTTTTTCGTTTTCTTTCTTCCATTTTCCCGGCGCTTTCTTTTCGTTTTCGCAAGTTTTCGTCGTTTTGGCGCTTTCTTTTCGTTTTCGCAAGTTTCTTTTTATTCGTCGTTTTGGCGCTTTCTTTTCGTTTTTGCAAGTTTTCGTCATTTTGGTGCTTTCTTTTCGTTTTATCCGCACACACACACACACACACATTAATATTTTGAAGTTTGCTATCAATGGTTGTTGTTGGGGTTTGAACCCACACACATATCTGAAATACGCAACTGCCCTAACCACACAGGTGGATTGGGCCCCTGTGTGGTTTTGGGGACTGCTTCTTTATGAAGTGTATCCGACGTCAGGCAGCTGACAGGTCAGAATGTGCCTGTGTCCAAACCCTAATGTTGCACAGTGTGGCAGGCGGGTCCAGTCCCGCAATTTTCAAGCACCAAATCTGGCGATTTTACGCGCTCAGACGAATTGAGGAAAAACTCTGAAAAATTGAGATCCCCTAGATTAGGTTGTGATCTTTCTAGGAAAAAAAAAATAAAAAAAAATAAAAAAAAAATAGACCGTGAAATAAATGCCGCGCCGTTTCGTAGCACTGTCCATTTTTGTCATTCTTGCACGTGTTGGCCAACGGGAAAAGTACCCCAACTTCCGCGATTTTTTGCGCTCAGAAGGATGAATCCACAACTCTGAAACTTGATAGGCCTGTAGACTGGGTCGTCATCTTTCTACGAAAAATATTTTAAAAAAATTAAAAAATATTTAAGATCGTGAAATAAATGCCGAGCCAATTCGTCCTATATTCATTTTTTGGGGTCTTTTGCTGCTGTATCATGTGACGGCCAACGGGAAAAGTACCCCAACTTCCGCAATTTTTCGCGCTCAGAAGGATGACTCCACAACTCTGGAAATTGATAGGTCTGTAGATTGGGTTGTGATCTTTCTATGAAAAATATTTAAAAAATAAATAAAAAATATTTAAGATCGTGAAATAAATGCCGCGCCTATTCGTCCTATGTTCTTTTGTTGTTTTTCGTTCCCCGTCGAAGTTTGTCGTTTCCCGCTGCCACGGCCTTTTGTTTTCTTCTGTTTTCGTCGTTTCCCGCTTTCGTGGGCTTTTTTTTTTTTTTTTTCATTTTGGCGCGTTGTGTTTTTTTCTTTTTTTTTTCGTGCCGCTTTTGTCGTTCTCGATTTCTCATTTTGGCGCGTCGGGCTTCCATGTTTTTTTTTCTCTTTTTTCTTTGGCGCGTCGTTTTGCGTGTCGCTTTCGGGATGGACGTGCCCCCACGCACCCACCTGCACGCACGCACGCACACACGCACCCACCCGCACGCACGCATGCCCTTTTGTGTATCGGAGGTGGGAAAAAAGGGGAAAAAAAGAGGGGAAAAAAAAACGAAAAAAAAAAGGGAAAAAAAAAGAAAGCAAACGAAAAAAGGAAAAAAAAAAAAGACAAAAAAACATTTTTGTCTTTTGTGTATGCAGAGAGTGGTGCAGCGACGCCCTTTGTCTTTGCCTGTCTCTCACACAGGGCGTCGCTGCATTACTCTCCGATTGTGCAAAATGAAAATGAATCCTCCCCGGGAACCTAAAAAGATACATCGCCATGTTTTTCGTCTTTTGTGCATGCGGAGAGTAGTGCCGCGACACCCACACACACACACACACACACACACACACACACACACACAGAGGCGGGCAGACATATGGGACGAAGTTTGCCCATGTGTCTGTGTATGTGTGTGTGTGTGTGCGCGTGCGTGGGTGTCAGAGAGAGAGTGCGGCTAAGAGTGTGTGTGGATGTGCGCGTGGGTGTGTGGCAGAGGGAGAGTGCGGTTAAGACTCTGCCATCGCCAGCGGCAAAGCCGAGACGAAATGGTGTGCCGTATAGCTATGGCGGACATGTCTTGAAACAAAAAAAAAAAGCAAAAAACACAGGAAAAAAAAAACGAGGAAGTTTTGTTGTGTCTTTCTCTCCCTTGCTTGGTCTTATTGTTCCGTCTCTCTGTCTCTCTCTTTGTCTCTCTCTGTCTCTCTCTCTCTCTCTCTCTCTCTCCGTCTCTCTCTCTGTCTGTCTCTCTCTGTCTGTCTGTCTGTCTCTCTCTCTCTCTCTCTCTCCTTCTCTCTCTCTCAGCCACATAGTGACCTGCGCAAAGGTGGCGTCTTGATTGAGGTCAGTGAGATGAGAAAAAAAATGAGAATGAGATGAGATGTGCTCTCTCTCTCTCTCTCCCCCTCTCTCCCCCCCTCTCTCTCTCTCTCCCCCTCTCTCTCTCTCTCTCTCCATCAGTCGCGCGCCTCCTTGGTCCGCTACTCCCTCTGCTCGCCATATATATTGTGCACGAGGGGGGAGGTTTCATGTTGAGGCGCTTGAGCTTGAGCAACCTCAGCAAGCAGACGAGACTCACGAGAGAGTGAGAGAGAGAGAGACCATATGCAAGAGAGAGAGAGAGGCCATCGAGGAAACTTTTGAGAGAGAAAGAGAGAGAAAGAGAGAGCGTTGACGATACCTAGCCGCTGAGGATAGCGAGCGAGCGAGGGAGAGAGAGGGCGTCGGCCATAATTGGCCGCTGACGACGACGACGAGCGCGGGCGCGCGCGCGCGAGAGAGAGAGAGAGAGAGAGAGAGAGAGAGAGAGAGAGAGAGAGAGACCGTAGCGGGGAGAGAGAGAGAGAGAGA